GGCGGCAGAATATTTAATTAGAACAATTAAACAGTGATTAACCTTCGCCGGCGTAATTTGACCGACTTCGTATATTTATATTTTATTCAATATCACGGTCAGCTTGTTTGGGTAATATAAAAATATCCAAAACATTGTAAGTTGCATTTCAGCATGCATTTAAATAATTACGGTCACAATGTTTTATATTTTTGCAGTTTTTGTCACGATTAGTTTATCAAAATTCAATATAAAAAAGGATGTAAGAGTCGAAATAAATCAGTATTCATCTAGCATCAAAAGGTGTTTTACTCAAATCATTTCCTGTGCCTAAGCCTTCTTGGCCACCGCAAAAAGTGAGGCTGCTCTTTGACAGAAAACGATGCAATCGTCCCGCTGCTCAATCAAGCCGAGTTGGGCAAGCGTAATCTGCGAGCACAGCTTGCACAGTGTCAATAGAACATTATAAGTCGCGCTGTGGTAGCCACCTTACACACGGAGAAACGTGTTTGAAGCAGAAAATGTGTTATTAAATAATCCAAACCTCAAGGAATGCTTGCAGTATTTACTTAAAACAATGATTCACAGCAGAAGATGCTCAAAGTTACGACCACCCACCTCCATACGTGCGTGACAGCGCCGTAGCATAGCCTCCTGAACACGTTGAAAAATTCATGGTGTTTCGAGAATTTCAACAGCTGCTGCAATAATCCTTCCTACTAACTTCCTCTAGCTGTTTCAATTGGAGTGTCGTAAACAAGAGCTTTCATATGATCCCATAAAAAAAAAGTCGCATTCCGTCAGGTCTGGTGAACGTGGAGTCCATGCCCCCTCAACAATCACTCTTTCCAGGGTCCTTATTCTTGAAATAGGGGAGCAGCGTTTCCAGGAGAACGAGGGTTTTGTTTTTGTTACTTATATGATTAGTTGCATATCATTGAGAAAGACGGAACACTCGTTCTCCTGGGAACGCTGCTCCCCCGTTTCAAGAATAAGGACCCAGATGTTTCGTTGAGATGTTCCCTTAACGGCCAAATTATGGACCAACTGGTAAGTGTCTGGTTGTTACCTAGCAGGTACTTTCTATTATCTAGAGCATAGAAAGTACCTGCTAGGTAACAACCAGACGTTTACCAGTCAGTCCATAATTTGGCCCTAAGGCTAACAAGTAATGTGATGGTGGTCTTTCGTCTTGGTACTCTATGTTTTGTCTGGCATACAGGGAAACAGTTTCGGGAAGGGTTTCATACAGAAATCTACGCGATATTTCTGCTACAACGCTGTTACACATGCATTAAGGCGGGTGGTCGTAGTTTTGAGCATCTTTTGATGTGAATCATTATTTTAAATAAATACTGCAAGCATTCTTTGGGTTCTGCATTATTTAATAACACAGGTTCTGCTTATTCAAACACATTTATCCGTGTGCAAGGTGGCTATCACAGTGTGGACTGTAATGTGCTATTATCACCAAACCAAAGCGCATGCGCCTATGGGTTTATAAGTAAAAAACGTTTATTTTGGTGAGATCTATCATCCCTCAATTTTTGGCACAATAGTTTCGGAACACCCTGTATAGAACAAAGTTAATGAAAAATACCCAATTTCCAACATAAATGACTTCAAGATAGATTAGGTAGAGCTCAATAATTTTCGAAGCAAAAAATACTTATTCTATAGAAAAAAACTGCTTTTACAGTCGATTATCAGGAATGTCATTTGGGTTAAAGAACGCGCCCTGTAAATTTTGAAGACTAATGGACGACATTCTAAAAGAACTCCAAAATAAAATCTGTAGGTAAGTATTGTCTATATGGACGACATAATTATTTTTAGTGTATGGGTGTAAGTTTGCTAGAACATATTCAAAATTTAAAACTAGTATTTTCCAGGTTGAAAGAAGCAAATTTTAAAATCCAACCAAACAAAAGGAAATTTTTAAGGAGAGAAGTCGACTTTTTAGGCCATGTAACTAGCAGATCAAACCAAATCTAAAAAATCGTTCAGTTCAAAAAGTCCCTACCTAAAACGCAATCTGTTTTAAAATGTTTTTTTGGACTTCTAGATTATTATCGTAGATTCATAGAGGATTTCGCAAAAATAACAAAGCCTATGACCAAATGTTTAAAAAAAAATGAGAAGGTTGATATTCTAGAGATTCTAGGGATTTTCAACACATGCAAGAAAATTATAACATCCTAACTCGTATTTACATACCCCGGGGAGCAATTCTATCCCAAGACCAGTTATTGTTTGTGGGACAGTCTGGATTCAGGAGCAACCATTCGTGTGAATCGGCCCTACAGTATGTATGTGCAACATGGCGAAAGGAGATAAATGAAGAGAAAGTGGTACTCAGCGTGTTTGTGGATTTGCAGCGTGCGTTTGAAACAATCGATCGAGGTATACTTATAGAAAAGTTAGAATTATATGGTTTAAATGGCAGCATATTAGATTGGATAAAGGATTATCTCAATAACAGGTATCAAATAACTAAAGTAGATAATAAGCTTTCAAAAAAGAGGGAAAACAAATGGGGTGTCCCGCAAGGAAGTCTCCTGGGCCCTCTACTATTTGTTGTGTATGTTAATGATATTCACATTCATTTAAAAAAATCATTTATATGTGTAGCAGGAGATGATTTTAGAGAAATATCGATTACTCTTAACGACGAACTAAAAATCATGTATGACTGGCTCTGCCAGAATAAATTGAAACTAAACACATCAAAGACAAAATGTATGGTAATAGGTTCAAAGACAAATTGTAGGAAATATGCCGAGCTGGGATTAGCTCTCAACATAAATGGCTCTAAAATTGATTTTGTTTCTGAAATAAAATATTTAGGCATTTTTTTAGATCATCAACTTAGTTTTTCTAATCAGGTAGATTATCTTTGTAGAAAGCTAGGTAAAAAAAATGGTTTTCTCCATCGCATTTCAAACTGTTTGTCACGATGGGCTAAGACACTTGTTTATAACACAATTATCTTACCGCATTTTAATTATTGTTGTTCCCTATTGATATCGTGTACTCAGGAAAATATTAACAGACTGCAAATTCAGCAAAATAAAGTGATGCGCATTATCCTCAATTGTAATAAATATACCCCAATAGCGAACATGTTGCAGGCATTAAACTGGTTGTCTGTCGGTCAGGGCATCAGAAGGGCGAACTTGGTTTTAATATATAAAATAGAGCATGAACAGTTACCAAAATATCTTAATGATTTTCTAAAAAAAAGATCAACCTTTCATGAATATAATATTCGTTCAAGGCAGGACTACTATAACATATTGTCGGTTAGAACGGCAACTTTACAAAAATCATTATTTTATGAAGGTGTTCGCATGTTCAATGCTCTTCCCGAAGCAATAAAGAATGCACCAAGTTTGAGAGTTTTCAATGCAGAAATTGATACATTCCTGAGGGGCACATAGTAAGTAAGTGAGTAGTAATATTTATTTTTGTAACTAACAATACCTTTTGTAAATACTTGTATTGCAATAACTAGTCAAGTGCTAAATAAAGATCTATTTATTTATTATTTATTAAGACAATCATCCTGTTAATTATGTTATGCTTCACGAAACATTGAACCCTGCCGAAATAAACTACTCAACGATTGAGAAAGCACTCACGGCTATTGTGTGGAACTGCAAAATAGTTTGGAACCCATTTATTTGGTCGCTAATTTATATTCATTTCTGACCACAGGCCGCTCCATTCTTAGTAAAAGAACCACAATCCCGTCTTTTTCGTTGGCGACTGAAATTAGAAGAATTTGAGTATGCCATTCAATACCGATACAGAAATTATAGAAATTTTAGGTACCTAGACAGAAACAACAACATCCTCCGAAAATTGACAATATAAGCTTTGTTCGCAGTAAGGGTTCAGAACGGATTCTGAAGCTGAAGAAGCAATCACAATAAATAAATAAACATTTTTGTTAGACTTTAGTTGCCAATTTCCATTGTGTCAATTTTCCAGCTTTGCTTCGTACAGACTAGAACATTACGGCGAAGAACAAACAGAACAATAAACCAAACGACAATCGAAACACTAATTTGGACAGGGCTACGAACGGCCAGGATTTGCGAACCGGTTTGAAAACGCGTTCATAGCCTTGTCCAAATTAGTGTTTCGATCGGCGTTCGGTTCGTTGTTCTGTTTGTTGTTCGGCGTAAAGCTTCGTACAGACCTGAACATAACGCCGAACAACGAACGAAGACTCCACTAAAGCGTAGTATACATTCCTAGCAACCAGAGTCTTCACAACATTGGTTTTCGAAATATTGAACGATAATAAATTGGAGTCGCACCAGGCCTTCACCCTCCTCAAATCTGCATTGATATCATTCAATCTTTCCACATCTGAACCATGCCACAAGATGGTCGTATCATCGGCAGAAAAAGTAAACTTTCCCAAAATTGGGAGTTAAGGTAACTCATTGACGTAAACGAGAAAAATAATAGGTTCCAGCACAGATCCCAACATTCGTTTTAACTCCCCACCATCCTGAAATCTCACGGTATGCGATATACCAGACAAGTAGGAGCGAAACCCACTCAAAGCAGCGCCCCCAAAACCATGCCACTCAAACTTCCAGGGCCCGTATTCTCGTCACCGGGGAACAGCGTTCTCTTTGCTCTGTCTTAGCCACCCATATTGTTACTTCCATAATACTGACAAAGACAAAGCAATCGTTCTCCGGTTACGAGAATACGGGCCCAGAGCTATATATCATGATTCACACAATCACATCACAATAAGGACATATCGAAAGAAATTGTAATAGTACGATGTTGATAAATTGATGATGATTCTGATTTTATGTATGAAATATTTGAAGTTTATTGATAATAATGTAGATTTTGTACCTTTTTTGTATATGTTTACTAGCCAAATGCTATGAAGTTTAACATTATCCCCCAAATCCCCAAAGAATCCTTTGAAGAAATTTCAGAACTACAGTTAAGTGGAAAACAACAATGAATGGGTATCCAATGTAACTTACCTGCAATCTATCGAGATTCACCCTGATCTGTATTGTGTCCAGTGATTTATTTTTTATTTCGTCCAATAGCTCTTCTAGCTTTGCAATTTTCGCTTTGCTAAATTGACACTGTTTGGCAAGTGTTGCGTTTACTACAACATATTCTTGGAGTTTCTTGAGGTATTCAATATCGGAAACATGAAGGAGATGTTGACGTAAGGGTGCTTGAAATTGCAACGTAAATGTATGGTTTTCAAATTTTGTTAAATCAATCTCAGATTGATCCTTTTTGAGAACCCGAGTTATTTCAAAATTTGCAGATTTTCCAGACGGATCATTCGGGTTACCTGGCTTTATTTCAAAGTAAATATTTTCTTCAACAGCTTCTGGTTCACCTGCATATATACAAATACAAAAAATTGAAGAACATAAAATGAGTCAAGTAACAGAGAACCCTATATACAGAGTGTCCGGAAATAAATGGAATAAATTTTGTTTAAAGATTCTGAAAAAAAAAAAAACGAATAGGTGACCTGTATGCCCCCAAAAATTCGCCCCTAGTCATTGGCCTCTAAACCTTGGATGCGTATTTGAATTTCTCAAGAGATATTAAACTTTTAGAAGACCCATTCAATTTAGAAATCTTTTTGTTTTTTGAAACTTTTCCGTTAAACACAAGATTCGTATGAAATTGTACCTGTTCATCGTAGGTGGTGGATTTATTTTTTGACAGTTATCATCAATCAGTTGTCAGATTGATATCTTTTCTGTTTTCTCGAAAATTAGTCAATTAGTTATTCAATTTGTTTGTTTATTGTGAACCCCAGCCAGCTACGATTAACAAGTAGAATTCCATGCGAATCTTGATATGCATTCGATCAGATTTTGCCATTTTTCTCGAAAACGATGTGTTTTACGGAAAAATTTCAAAAAACAAAAAGATTTCCATGCTCCATGTTTAACTTGCATGAAATATAAACTAATTTTCTTATCATTGAAAAGATTGTCTTGAAAATATTGCAAAGTTGACATTAGAATAGATCATTATATATTCGATTTTTTTTTTTTCATAGAAGAAAAATTTTAATATGTCGGATGGATACTTTTTCAGTGAATAGAGAAAACTGCAAATGTCTTACAAAAAAAATAAAAAAAGTATTTTTTCCAGGAAAGCACTATTACAGTATAATTTGGTGAATATGAATGTAGGTAAATTAACGGATATAATAATAAGAAAAAATTACTTACCATCACTATTCAATCCAATTAGATTGAAACAAAAATGAAGTATGACTGCATCCTTATTGGGAGTACTTGTTTGGGAGATGAGTATTGCATTTTTTAAGTTAGATTCGAGGTGGGAAAGCGTAGAAGTAGAGTACTGGTGGAATATTTGGAGTTGTGTAGAGGCAGCTAAAGGAGGGGGAGTTGAATAATGGTGAAAACTGTCAAGTGTACAATTATTTAAAGGTGAGAGAGTTGAACATTCCTGCAAAGTTTTGAAGGGTGAAGAATCATTTAAAAGTTGCTCATCCAGATTATGATAACAGGAATGGGATTTGGTTTGCGCGGCTTTCTCCAGAGTTGTTTTTTTGTAATCGAGTGCCTGAAATTATTGAAAAATATATTTAGGTCAAAGTGATAGCTATGTATTAATGCCAACTAATTTATCTACTGCGTTTACCGTAACCTAATATGTTATTATTATTACTACATTGTAAAGTGTGAAAACGTATGGGAACGACAGAATTAAGTAAGGCAGTTTATTCAAGAAAAATATTCAAATTCCTAAAGGAGCAATAGATTTTCAGTGTCAGACGTATGAGTTGTTAAGTTCCCTAGGAAAAAAACCTAAATAAAACCAGAAAAAACATTTTTTGGGGCACCAACAACGCATAAGAACACAAGTTTGAATTTGAGAAACGTCTTCTTGACTACAAGCTACAATGACGATATTGGAGCATATTTGCAGTGTGTTACTGATTATAAATGCAGTTAAGACTATCACTTATTTTGCGGCCCATTAAATGGAGAGTAATTTGACATTACTTTGTTGGTTCTTATTGCCGACTTTAAAAACCCTTAGGAGTGTAACATACTTTTTTTTTACCAGATCTAATAAACATTTGATATTAAGACTATGGACTGTTACTTACTTCATTTTCTTCCTGTAACTCATCAATAAGTTTTTGCTGTTCGACAAGTCTCTGCGTCAGTTTATCACACGAGTTTGAAAATCCATTCAACATAAATTCTTTCGTTTCCAATTCAGTCCTAACAAGGTCTAGTTCTCGTGAACAATTATTTTTTTGCATGGTTACCGTTCTCAACTTCCTTTCAAGTTCTGCTTTCTGAAAATGTAAATTTCATAATTTAAAAAAAACCTTCTCCAAAAATAAGTAGGTCTGTATCATTGTAACAGCAATAATAGACCTGCGGGGGCCTCTACTCTTATAAAAACATGAGAGATTCAAATTTAAAGTTGAATGCGAATTCGTTGAATTAAATTGGATTCGTTCAACTAGTGCAGTATTCCAAGGTGAAACAGTCAAACTCTAGGAACCACAAACTGCTCACACAGCAATATGTCAAATTTATTGAGAAAAAATACCAACATGAAGAGATGTAAACATTTATTCAACTACACAAATTTTCAATTTAACTTCAAGAAATTAATAACTAACCAAACAAAATACATATTTGAATTCAAAAAATGCAACTGGTAACACTACTGTAAGTGTTGAAAATGTTCCGCATTGTTTCTCAAGCACAGTCTTGCATTTTCAATCACCTTACACACGAGAAACTTGGCTATAGTCTACTGTCTACTTGAATTTTAATTTTGAGATCATCTACATCCAAGGGACTACTTTTGTAGAGATACTTTGTCTTTTATTTAATAGACCGTCAGATAGTGACAGATTTTGGTGCCCCATTTTCGCATGCAAGCCTCGAAGAGTATTGAAAAGTACATCGATTTTGAGTAGAATGTAGGGAAATTTACGAGTGGCTCCTGGGGATAACATATGGAATATTCGATTTTACTTATGTTACCCTAAAATAATATACTTTTTCATTCACGCCACTCAAGCCATTATGTGTTTCTTGCTACCGACGGTGTAAATTTTCATCCTTCCGATTGGGTTTTGTGGAAAAATTGACCAAAATCTCGATTTTCCTTACAAGATTACACCCTTATTACAACCCTTTAGCCTCCTGCAATACCCCCTCCTTTATTTTTTTGAAGCCAGATTCTATCAATTAATCTTCTGGTGAACACGGCTTGCGAGAAAATATGGGCACAAAGACTCCTTTCTTTTGCGTTACGGAAAATCTGATTTTCCCTACGTTATTCCCAGGAGCCACTCGTGAAAATCCCTCCATTCTATTGTCAACTAGCTGCTTAGGAAAGGAGGACCCGGTATTCAACCTTATTAATTTAATTGCCGATTCGATCGAATGTTTATTGCAATTCAGCAATAAATTAATATAAATTGCGCTGCAAGCCGCAGCAAAGGCAGACTTAAACCAGTGCAAGTACCTCTCGTTGGAAAAGCCCCTCTGGAATTAATACTCCCCAGTGCAAGTACCTCTCGTTGGGAACGCCCCTCTGGGTATCTTCAGCCTTATCGTTGTCCAGTGCAATTACCTCTCGTTGGGAACGCCCCTCTGGACAAGGCATAAGGGTGACGATAAACTTATCTACAGTCCCCCAAGCAGAATTGACGTGTGGCCCCCTATAAGGACCCCAGTGTACGAAGGGTCATGTATCTTATAGGATTAGCATACATGTAAGGTTATATTTGGGAAAATATATAGCATATATTTTTATATAACCTGAGCGAGTTTCTCTCCATCAACCCCCAAAGCTACAAACCCCCCATGTCACCCCCGTAAAGCGGGTAGTTGTGACATATTTGGTGGAGGCGCCGAAGCTAAAGAAGAAAAGCAGGAAGAAGAAATCAGGCATCTGATGCAAATCGGTACAGAAACCAAGAAAAAGACATATAAATTGGGTACAAAGAAAGATTACACAGTATCTCAGAATGAGTTAAAAACATTGGAATTAGATATTATGGGCAAAAATAGTGAGATTAAAGATAATACTACGTATACATGCAAATATAATTTAGATTGGTTAGCAAAAAATCATCTTGAACTAAAAACGCACATTCACACCAATGAAGGTAGCCTCATTTTAAAAGTACAATCGAACACAAGGAACCCAGTAGCTATTTACGCAGGAACCACAATGGCATTTTTGGCAGAAACTGCATCAGAGACAAATCTTTCACACAATTTCATGTTGCAAGCAGGAAAAGATGAAGAGAGCGAAGAAATAACAATGGAAGATCATAAGTTAGACAGCATCACAAACGAAAAGAACAGGCATGAACTCAAAGAACTCCTTCTGGAATACAACGACGTTTTCGCGAAATCCACAAAACATATGGGAAAGACAAACTTAACAGAACACATAATAGACGTCGGAGAGGCTCGCCCAATAAAGAGCCGCCCATACAGAATGTCACAAAAAGAAAGACAGATTATTGACGAACAAATCCAGGAAATGCTCGATGGTAAAGTAATTCGGCCTTGCCCCTCTCCATGGGCTAGCCCTGTAGTGCTAGTTAAGAAAAAAGATGGAAAAACAAGATTTTGTGTAGATTACAGAAAGGTGATAGTGTAGGTGCCCAGCGACATAAAGTTGCATTTATGAATACTGCCTTGGAATGTTTTATGTGGCTTAATTGCGCCTAGTCTACCATCTTTTTCCTTTATGAAAACTTTCGTAGTGGGGGCTTTTCTTTTCTCGTTTTTCCGAAAGCCGACCATTTCGCGTGGTGCAAAAAATTTATAGATATCGTTTTTATTTTTAGTGAAATCGCGAGACAAATTCATGAAAAACGCGAAAAAAAATGTGTCCGACAAAAATGTTGGAGCGTTAAGGGTGTCTACCAACTCAAACATATCCAATTGACAAGTTAAAAAAATTTTTGGATAACGAGCTGATTTTTTCAGAATTACTTAATAAAAATATGAGGAATATAAATATCCAATTGTCCGAAATATTACATTTTCCGATTTTCCAGTCCGATGCGGGAAAATCATCGGTTTCACGAAGCCAAAAAATTTACGAATAACAATTTCTTCTTTCGATTTATTGTATTGAAAAGAACTATAGAACATAATGACTAAGTTGTCCGACAGTAAAACATTACCGCTTATGCGTAAAAAAGAAGCATAAAGTTTTTTTGAATTTAGTCGGTGTACGGTGTACCTGACGTCGAGGTGCGCTCCAATCATCTCCTGTTGTAATGATTCTTATGGAGTAGGAAACATTACATCATTATGTTTTTGATTTAAACAACAACAAAAAATTATTTTGCGAAAAGACTATAATTTCAAAATACAACAAAATCGAATCAGTCACAGTCAATACGAAACCAATCTCAAAAAAGCCGCTACATTCCGACCTACGCCTACTGCACTGGTGGTATTGAGGTTCTTGTTCATTCTGGTTTATTCTTGTGCTTCGAGTGTATACGTTATATACGACACTACTAGATCATATGAATAAAACAGAAGCAAATGCTTTTGCTTACGTTTTTTGAGACAAACATATTCAGCTTTATTGCAGCAAAAAGAGACAAAGGCAGAGTAAAAGTATTTGCTACACTTTATCTGAACCAGCCGTATGAATAAATAAATATCTATTTTCGGTGACATAATTTGTCTAATCTACACAGTATTTAGATTTTTTTAAAAATTAATTGTTTTTCGTGTAATTCATTAAAAGGTAGACCTCATTTTGAACAAAAAACAGAAGAAGTGAAAAAATTTACACCAGAAATATTTTCTTATTGTAAATTATTTTTAAAATCAAGACAGTTTCACAGCCTCAAATATAGTGATGTGATATTACCAGATACTTCCGATGATGAACTAGATAATTGGTTATCATTCATCCTGCTAAACAATTCAATGTGAAAAAAAGGTATTTCGTGAATAAAAGGTAAATTCGATAAATTCAGAATAACATTTTCCATGTATAGATACTTATAAAAAGCCGTTTTTGGGAAAAACAGTTAAGCACGATTTTACATATTTTGGGATGTTTTTTGCTTTCATTCAGGGTGTTTGAAAAAGTCGGGTCTATTATTTTATTGTCAAAAAACGGTCAGTTTTTTGAAAAAACAGTTGAACACGTACCTATATTTTATTTTATTTTTTACATATATCAGGATTCTATAAAAAAATCATACAGGGTGTGGGGAGTGGGCCATTTTGATTTCGCCGCGTAATAAAAAGTTATACCTACTTGTGCTTTTTTTTTAACTTGCATTATCACTGCACAGAACAGTAGTGTTGCATTCTTCGTTTAATTTGCAATGAAAAGTTTTTTCTTCAAGTTCATGCGATGTTTCAACACAAGATTCAGCACGAATTGATGTGATGTCTCTTTCATCTGAGAATGAATGTGGAAGCAACGTGTGTACCACAATCGTCTAATACTTTTACTTCTATAAGGGAAACACATATGGATGTTGATGATGAGTAAGTAACATAGTGGGTATTAAATTGAAGAGGTAGTCCATCTCTAAGTGCAGTTTAAATTTAATTCAAAGGTAAGAAAAGGCACGAAGTCTTCCTCCACATTATATATTATACCCTACATATTTCGAGGATATATAGATCCTCTTCCTCAGAGACAAAAAAGCTCAAAAATGGTGAAATAAAATCAAAGTCTAGGACGCCAGACCTCGCATTTGCACTGAGAGAAAAAAAAACTAATATACCTACAGAAATTGTATTGCATCAGTTTAAATTTTGTATACTATTTGGGACAGAAAAGCAAAAGCATTACTAGTAAAAAACGCGTTGTTCTACACTTTTTTGCATACCTATCAATATTAATTGCTTTATTGCAACTATATAAGAAACTGTATCGAGATTATACAGAAGATAGTATAGTTATTGAATCAGAGTTTATATACCCAATGTACAAGTGGCTGTATAGTCATTGTACAACTGGTTGAGTAGCTATTAAGCAAGTGGTTTTTTAGTGTTTTTAAGTTGCAGAATGCCCAATATATAAATAGTTGCATGGCTCTTAATAGAGTTGTTGTATAGCTATTATAATACTGGTTGTGTTGTCACACTATACCAGGATTGTAGATTTATTAAACTATGCTTTCTTTAGCGGCTGCATTATGTGTATACAAGAGGTTGTTTTAGCCGATGTACCGATATATTAAAAATCGCGTCGGTCGTCAGTTCAAAAATTTAAGTTTTGACAGAATTTAGTGAAGTAGGTATTTAATTCTGACAAAAATTACACTTCAGAACC